AAGTGATTTGCTTGCTTAGGTTTCCAGAATTAATAAGTTGTGGAGAAAAGATTCATATTGAGATGGTCAAACCAAGCTCTTAATCAATATATTCTTCAAAAGCAGCAAAATGGGGTAACAAACTGAGAGTTATTAGCTAGAGAATAAGACGAATGTCATAGATGGAAAAGCATGTGAAATATACCACGCATCCACTGAAAAACATGAAAGGCAAATTCCAGAAAGAGTTTAGTTCTCAATGACTGTTCTAACAAGCAAAGGTTAGGGATGATCAGAGGACACCTCTAATATCTAAGAATGATGTTGTGGATGCTATGTCTCTGATTCAGTGTATCCGAAAAAGAAAGACTCTCAAATATGCTATAGCCAAAGGAAGAGAAGAATCAGAAGGAGTGGGGAAGAAGGAGTAAACACAAGGACATGGTTCACAATGCACCAGGGATTATCCCTGTGATCAACAACCTCACTGTTCTCATTTATAAACACACGTACACACCGTGCTAAACAGTGCAATAGAAGTGTCTGGTCACAATGCAGACTGATGAGAGTCAACAGAAGATGGCACTAGTCCTCTCTCATACTGAACCACAGAATCACTGTTTTAAACTGTAAATAGAGTTGGCAAGGGTTTATAGAAACTCATTAGTGATAGAGCCATAGCTGATCATGAAGGAAAGTTATACATACCTGGTTTACATCCCAGACATTTTCAGGGACTTCTTTTTGGGCAATCAATTCAGATTATGGTCAGAAACTGAATAATGGGCTGGCTGGACCACCAGCCTAACCCTCTGTAATAGTCTTCATGAGATTTTGGCATTTAATTGGTAATTAGCAACTACATTCATGTATACAGTCTCTTGTTGAAGACAAAATGGGTTGCATGTTCTTGGGTTGCTAATTTGCAGCTGGCATTGACTGAGCCCTGGGTGATTATGGCTTTCCAATTATTAAGACTTCAAGGAAAGAGCTAATATCTCATTACTTTATCCCCTACAACTTACCTACATCCTACCAAATTTTTCAGTTCCTTAGATGCCATATTTAATTAAATGCATTTTCTTATAATGTCCCAACACGTAAGTTAGTATTTCAAACATCTGGCGCTTTCTCAAAAAAAAGAGCCAGTATTAGATATCTAGATTTTTCAAAAGGTTTGTTTGTTTGCTTTTAATTCTCTCTCCATAAGCAAGTTTGGTTTTTGAAACTTCCACTTTCAAGGAAAAAGAAAAAGCAACAAAGCAAATCTCCAAGATAGAGTTTGCATTTTTATGCATCTTTAGCCAGACAAACATTAGTCCTTCCCCAGAAGTGGAACAGCTATTCTGAAGAATGTAAATTTGCTGTTTTCTCAATATGCAGATAGGCTGTTGTCACAGATCCCCATAGTAATGAACAACTTCTCAATATTTAATAAGCCTGGCATTCCCGTCCCCAGGCGGAAAGCACAGACGGTTGGTAGCCAGCTACTAACTGACCATTAAAATACAGAATCTCTCTTTAAAATGGGCTTCAAAATAGGTTATATCACCTGCAGTGGGCAGTGAGTACTGTCCTCTGCCGGGAGGTGGCCTGTTCTCCCCGCCTGAAGAGATCTGGCAGGAGCAAAAGCAAAGTTAGCCTGCTCAATATTCAAATAGGGGCTACAACACAATCCTGTTTTGTGACAGGGCTTTTAAAGGAGGATGGGGGGTGGGGGGAGAGCCCATCAACAGCCCTATTTTTTGCAGTGTTTTAGGACGGAGAACTGCCAAGCAAGTGGAAATTAGGAAATTAGCCATGAAATTTTTTTTTTTTTTTTTAATGTAAAAGAATGGAACTGTTCTGGAACTCTGCTTTCCGTTCTTTTCATGCTTGCTTGTACACAGGAGTGGCTTGTGCGGCCTCTGGTGTGCTGTGTGAGTATAAACATATTGCAACAATAATGCTTACTAATTAGACGAAGAAGCCATTAATTTAGAACAATAGTATTTGAACATTTTCAAGGTGGCTTTTTTAATTTAAGGAGTAAAACTAGTGTTTATATGATTATATGGAAATTCAGAAAATCATTAATACAATTATTTTCTGAATAACGGAAAAGCTAATATAATGAGTTCTCCTTGCTCTCTTATTGACCATTAAGAGAAGATGTTTTACTGTAACTATAATTTCAGGTTAACACAAATATTCCCACAATCACATTAAACATATAGAGTTGTAAAATTCCTGAGTAGGCCTACTATAACTCTTCACCATCACTTCGTAAGATGTGATTGCTTTTTCTTCTTCATCAACAGCAATAGGAATTAGTGTTTTTTAGGACCACTTTCCATGAGGAAATGAGAATTTTTTTCTTCATCATTTCAGGAGAATTGTTGCTTGCATAATAATGAGTGGGAAATGATGAAGAGGTGGAAGATAAAGATGTGGATGATAGGTGGCTTCCTAGCAGATAACTGGCTCTATAACCATCCTCCAATAGTACCCTAATCCACGCCCTCAGGAAAACTAAAAATGGCCCTTTGGGCCACTTTTCAGAAGCATTAATTCTAAAAGTGTTTACAGTCACGTGCTGCTGAGCAGTAAAAGAAGCAAACCTGTTCTATGTTTTGTCAGGAGACAAAACTAGGATCGGCGGTAAATACTATAATGAGGCAGATTCAGGGCCTTCATGAGAACTTCCCCAGCAGAGGTATACAGTAGTGAAATGAACAGGGTAACTTATGAGGTAGAGGCACTCAAACAGAGGCTGAAAGACTATCTTTCGTGGATGCTATTAACATTTTCAAGAAAAAATATAGTGTATTTTTCTCAAAACCTCATGTGAAATCCCAAAATATAACACAAATGAAAACAGCACTGCTCTGGTTGAAGTAAAAGATGGAGAACCTAGAACTCCATTTACTCACTTTGTTTTTACCCCCAAGGCTCTGCAGGCAACACCACTGGGCTCTAAGGAATGCAGTTTAAAAACAACTGCTGTAAAAAATCCTCCAAAATTATGTGGGAGATCATACTGACCCAGCAATTCTCAAGTTTTCTGCACTGTGAAACACATGGCAAGTGATAATTAACATGCAGAACTTGAACATATATGCAGATTCAAATATCCCAAAAAATTTCATGGGGAAGTAAAGCACCACAAGAATTCCCAGGCTTCACATATGCTGAAAGTACTTCCAGGTCTCAGGGAGCTAGCTATAACTCTGCCTGCCTCACCCACTCACGACACCTCCCAGAATACAAGAGAGTTCGAAATAGCCTTGAATCTACTCTATAATTTGCAAAAGTAATAAATTTTTTGAAAATATTCACAACTTTACCTTATCAATAATGATCAATTCTTTGGGTCATCCCTCACAACTGACCACTACACATCAGGGCATCGTAACCCTGAGCTTAAGAACCTGAATGACTGCAGTGGTCTGCAGTCATTTTGGTTGGCTCACCCAACCAAAGCCCCAGAGCTGATTCTACATGCTAGATAATGCTAAAATAAAGTGAGTGTTTTTATTAACTTACACAACTGTTTTGAAATACCCAAATGCTTAGGATTTTATGTATAAAAGCAAACAGTAGTCAATTTCTCTCTGTTCAGTCAGAGGCTTGGGCCTCATCCAAAAAGTAGCCTAATGAAATTTTATTGTCCCTCTTTTGAAATTATTTCACAGTATTCAATATTGTGATCAGCAGCTTAGGTTTATCTATGTGGTAGAATTTAAAACAATGAAGTACTTTTTAAAGAATTTTGAGTATTTATGATTCACTAGACATGGTTGTGAATGTCTTACAAGCATTAGCTCATTTAGGTTTCACAAGAAACCCATGATAGAGCTATTGTTGCTACTACCCCCTTTTTATGGATGTGGAAACTGAGGCTTAGTGGAACTAAGAAGCTTATCGAGCTCTATACAATAGCGAAGCTGTAGAGCTGGGATTTGAACCCAGGCAAATCTGACCCCACAGCTCACAAGCTTAACCTTTATACTAGGCAAGAAGCCAGAAAAATCCTACTGTCCAGAAGGATACTGAAAAGGTAGTTCACAAAAGAACTGATTCTCAAGTTGTTATATGAGCTTCTCATCTCTGTTCTATGTTGTCAGTGAACAACAAAAGAAAAGAAAAAGACATAAATAAAGAATGGAGTTGAGGAATCGGAGGAAAGGGTATGGCTAAGCTACTTTTCTTGCAAAAGACAAAAAAAATGTCAAGAATTCTGATTACTTCACCCAAAGGTCAAAAGAGAATTTTTTTTTTTCTTTCGAGAAGATAAAGATGAATGTGTTGGCTCACCCTGGGGCTAAAGAATAATTAGAAACACCCCTCCACAGCTAACTGATGAGTCCAGGGGCACTGGCTCCCTGCTGGACTCAACGCAGTGCTGGGGAGCCTCCTAGAGGGCCAGCCTTGAGCAAAACACACAGGAGACCTGTGGCTCACCAGCAGGGACTATTGTCAGCCTTGTGACAACTACAGCAATAATATCACTGACAAAATATCTAGAGAGTTGTTTAGAATTATAAAACATCCTAGCCATCACAGAGTTTGATCCTCACAACCAACCTACCTGTGAAGCACACATTATCACCTGGTTTACAGATGAGGAAATCGAGACACACAGAAGTTAAGTGCCTTACTCAAAGCTTCTCAGCTGGTTAAAGGCAGAGTTGGGACTCAGAAATGATGTCAAAGCACCTCCCTCTCATCACATCCCTTGAAGCAGATGATACTCATTCACTAGATAGGTAGCAGAGCCTCAGGGAGAGTGTGCAGGATACGCCCTGGGCTCACATCTTGGCTCTACCATTCACTAGTTGCGGGATGACCCTTAGCAAGTTACTTAACCTATAAAATGGGAATCATAATAGTACACGCCTCATAGGATTTTTGTGGTAATTAACTGAAACTGAAGGAGTTAATGTATAGAAAGAGAAAGCAAAGTGGCTAGTAATACTAAGCATTCAATAAATGTTAGTTTTTATCATTAATCATTCATTCATTTAATAAACTTTTCTCACATGGTTATTCTGCACCAGGCCTGTGTGCTTGGGCCTGATGATATGTGATAAATCAGGCATGATGTGTGATAAACCCTGCTCTGCAGTTGCTCACAGTCCTTGGGAGACCAACACAAAGAGAGATCTGTAAGACAAGGAGGAAGTACAATGGCAAGTTATGGTACAGGATATCATGCAGGCACATAAAACGGCTTTTTATCTAAAGCAATCAAAGCAAGATGCTTGAAGAGAGTTTGTAAAACAGCAATTTTTAATACCAAGAAAGATGCTACAAATTGAAACACAGTTCCAAATTAAATATCAATGTCACAATACTTCATAAAAACAAACAACACAACTCTGAGATTTAGAGCTGAAGACCTAGTTTAAATCCTAACTCCATAACCTACCAACTATGTGATTTTAAACAAATAATTGAACTTCTCTGGATGTCAATTTATTCATCCCTAAAATTGATATATAATAGCAATGTACCTCACAAGGTTGTTTTGCAGGCGAAATGATGTATGTGAAAGTGTTCTGTAAATTTAAAAATGTCATTATAATTATTGCTAATTATAGGGAATGAGGAAGATACAGAAGTAGAGGAAAAGGAGGAAGAAGGGGAGGGAGTAACCCTCAAGCACTTGCTGGGGTGTTTGGGCAGCCACAGAGAGCAGAAGTCCTGTCATGCTCCCAGAGTCTGAGGTGTGCACAAAAGATGACGTTTTTCATTGAATAGGGCAGGCAAGGATTTTGCCAAAATTTTAAAACTACACAACTAGTTAGGTTCCCTCCCTTTCTCCTTACTCCAGGCCCTAAGTACTCTTCTTAGAGTAAAGACTTGAGCATCTTTACCTGAGGAAACCACACCACTGGTCTGTGAGTATTTAGAACTAGAGATGGCCACCTGCCTCCATTTTGGGAGTCCTTTTGTCCCATGGCTCAATTCCTAGTTGCAGAGGATGCCACTACCAGACCCAGGTGGGTAGACACAGGTGGGTAGCCCATCCCAAGCCATCTGCAGAAATGTTTCTCTTCAATACAACTCTTCCAGAGGCCCAGCCAAGCAACACTGAATTGAGAGGTGAAGTCGGAGTTTGCCAAGTGGAGAAGGACAGTGAATGGCACTTGCAGATGGCAAAACCTGAGGAAAGACACAGTGTCATAACGACTCTGGGGACTGAGAGAATGATGAGCAGAGCAAGGCAAATGGAAAGAGTAGGGAAGTAAAGGGCCACATGTGCCAGATGAGGGAGTTTAGGTTTTATTATAGTGAATGTGGAAGACCCATGGGGAGTATAAAGAGAGGAACATGACTTGTCTGAAGAAGTCATTCTGGCATCGAGCAGTAGAGAATAGAGTAGAAGCTAGGGGACGAGTGACAGAAAGGCCACTTACCTAAAAGGCCCATAATGAGGGCACAGACTCCATACCAGTGTGCCTGAGTAGAAAGGGGGAAGATTCAAGAGCTATTTAAAAGGCAAAAAGCAAAGTAAATAAATAAATAAAATAAAAGGCAAAATCAACAGGATTTGGAGACTGGTTGGTTGTACAAGAGTGAAGCAAGGAGCAAAACCAACAGATACTCCTTTGGGTGATTGGACTAATGCACTATGGTTTTATCAAAACAGTCAATTTCAGTAAAAATAATATCTCCTTACATTGAAAATGAGATTTCTTATTTTTATTATAAATCTTATTTGATACTTCCATGAATTTGGAGTTCATGGATTAGATAATACCTCTTCTTTATGGATGGTGGCTGAGCCTCAGAAAGACGAATCTTGCCTCAGTTCCTGCAAATGGCTAGAAGAGAGAAGAATTAGCATTAACCCCATTAACTCAGGGTTGACAAATAAGTCTCAAGTTGTATACCAATTGGTAATAACTATGTGAAGCACTATGTTTAGATTCTGATATTGAGTCTGGCCTTGGAAAGCTAGATACTGTGACAAATTGGCAACGTATGTCATGACACCAGGAAAGGAGAGTGGTGGTATGTCAGATGTTTATCAGCTCTGCATCAGACTATGCTGACTCATTAGAAATGGATAGAATAAGAAAACGGATCAGCTTGGATCTAGAAAAGAGCTCATAAAAAAAGACCTTACTGGGTACAGATCATACATTGTACCAACTGAAAAAACTGATACCAGCAAGACTGTAAGGTGACCCAAATATGCCTAAGTCCTTCCACTCTCATCCTCATCTCATCACTCTCAAATGGGAAGCTCCCTTTTTCCAGACAACCACAGTCCTGTTCCAACATTTCTATTGTCAAAAGTGTACCCCCACTACCATAACTTCCCTGAAATTTCAGGTAATGCAACATTTTCTTTATGCCCATCAGAAGACCTTTTCCTAGAAAGCAATAAAGAAAAGTGGAAAGAACAGAGACTGGGTTTGAGAACTTCTGTTACCTGTTTAAAAAAGAAGAGTATTAATGTCCCAATCTCAGAGGTGTTGAAAGGATTAAATAATATATAGACCTGCACAGCATACAGCAATCATTCTATAAATGCTTTAAAATTCTTATTTATACAATAAACTGATAGGATGAAGGGAGGCAATATCTTGGTCAATCAAGCTCTTAGAGGTGCCCTTAAAGTCCTATCTCTGCTTAGGGATAGCCTTTCAGCCTCAGGTGACATATGTTTCCATAATCTGATGGCTGCACCATTTATTTCAGACAAAATGAATCCAAATAATTTACAAGTGGTGCTTAATGTTCAAAGTCAAAGATCAAAATAAAAATTGTTCCTAAGTCCAATTATTATATTCTAAGGCTACTCAATCAACTCAACAAAATCAGTGATAAAAGTTGCCTCTAACTTAAAATTCCATTAGTCCATGAGTTGATATATTTTTTTGTTCTCAAAAAGGCAAAACATGGGGTGCCTGGGTGGCTCAACTGTTAAGCGTCTGCCTTCAGCTCAGGTCATGATCCCGGGGTCCTGGGATCGAGCCTCACATCGGGCTCCCTGCTCAGCGGGAAGCCTGCTTCTCCCTCTCCCACTCCCCCAGCTTGTGTTCCCTCTCTCGCTGTCTCTGTCAAATAAATAAATAAATAAATAAAATCTTTAAAAAAAAAAAAAAAGGTAAAACATTCTCATGAGCGACATGCAGAAGCAGGAGACTGAGCCTAACAGGAGTTAAGAGTGCAGACTGTGCAATCAAACAGACATGAACTTGAATTCCAGCTCTTTTATTCACTCACTATGTGGACTTGGGAAAATTACTCGATTGCTCACAGCCTCAGTTTTCTCATCTATAAAATGGGTAATGGCTACTTTAGAGGCTTTGATCAAACTAAAATGAAATAATGTATGTAGAGCACTTTTAGCCAAGTGTCTGATACACAGTAGGTGCTACAAATTACAGTTATTTTATGTAAATGGATTAAAGCAATATAAAAAAATGATGAAGTCTACCAACACACTGACTCGCAAGGTCGTTGACATGACCTTGCCTTTCCCATGCAGTTTCCTAATTATAATACTTTCTGTCTTCCCAGAAGAGCAAGTGTAAACTACAGACTTCTCAAGAATAAATTCTACCCATCAATCTATATTTTTGATAATGTATATAATAAACATCAAAGGCATGAACAAAAATTCAGACTGAGTTGGCCCAAACATCTTGGTATTGTGTAAGTGTCACTGAGAGATACTTCATAATTATTTTTTAAATTATTTTACGAGGGTTGTCATTTTCCATATGAAAGAACAAATTAAAGTTCTCCTTTGACACTGAAAAATCCAGTCAGTCACAGGAATTAAGAAACCAATGAAACCACTATTTTTCAAGCTCTTGGTACATACCTAGCACAGTCCTAGGCATGGAGTGGATAGAAGAAAAGTACAAAATATGGCTTCAATGTATAATTTATCACCTCACTAAGGAGATGTGATTGGACAAAGGGATTGAATTCAAAACCATAATCACCAGACCATAATCAAGGTCCAGTAACCAGAGTTTACCCCACAACCAGATAGGTGAGACAGCATAGAGCTAATATTTGGAAAAAACTGGGTTTTTTGGTCCTTATCAGAAATGCCCAGTTAAGTAAGGCGTCCTTCTGAGAAGAAATGAAGCCATATTCTGAAAGCCTCAGGCAGCTGACCGTAGCTGAAGAGAATATTACCAAAGTCCTTTGGGCTATTTATCTTTATTGGCACTATTTTTACAGGCAAACGAGAGGAATTATTTGTTTCCGTATAGAATCCAATTACTAAAACTTTCAAGAAACCCCTTCCCAGCCACTGTCACAATCACCAGTATAACCAGTGTAACCGGAGATACAGGTGCTGCCTTAAGGCATCACTGCTATTGTTTTATCTCCAATACGTTACAGCTCTGCTCGTGCCATAGTCACACACACACACAACACACACAAATCACAGCTCCGGAATTCTTCTCTACTGTGACTCTACTGCTCAGCAATACCATATGTGGGATTCTTTTTTTTTTTTATTCTTTTTTTTATTTTTTTATTTTTTTAAAGATCTTATTTATTCATTTGAGACACAGAGATACAGAGAGAGAGAGAGAAAGCATGAGCAGGGGAGAGAGGCAGAGGGAGAGGGAGAAGCAAGCTCCTCGCTGAGCCAGGAGCCCGATGTGGGGCTCAATCCCAGGACCCTGGGATCATGACCTGAGCTGAAGGCAGACGCTTAACCATCTGAGCCACCCAGGTGCCCCGATGTGGGATTCTTGTTACAACCAACTTTTTCTTGAGAACCCATTGCTAGACTCCTAAGTAGGAAGCATTTTCCCCTACCCCACTCCATTCAGCTCTCATAAAATCCGTTAGACAACCTTCTCCCTCAGAACAAAAGGGCTTCCAGGATGTTTCACAAGCTCTTCTCTGTGGGTTTGAAATTATACACAGCAGTGCCAAAGGTAAGGCATTTCTAGAGGTTTTTGTTCCTTTTTTTTTTTTTTATTACAGTTCTGGGTGTTATTTTTTTTTCTGCTCCCTCTCTCTCTTGTGGTATATATTTGTGGCCTACAGCAATCACTTTAGACTTTTTAGACACGTCCGGATAGAGATAGATGACACAAGTGATCTACTTATCTTCCTTTCCCATCACCAATAAAAGTGACAGCCCGCCTAATTAGGCCTAATAAAGCAGCCACAGAAAGAGTGGCACAGCGGCGATCTAAAGAGAGATGGCACTGACCCGGAGATACAGGTGCTGCCTTAAGGCATCGCTGCTATTACTTTATCTCCAATACGTTACAGCTCTGCTCATGCCATATTCAAATGCAAGTAGCATGTTTTTCTCCTCAATTCTTAGATCAAGAACAAAAAAAAAAAAATCCCATCTAATCAAAAAAGGCACTGACAATTTTTCAGCCCCACATTAAAAGCAAAGAGTCATTCACAACAGTGCACTCCATATTCTATTTTATAATATCACTTTAAGCTATTGCTTTGAATCTCAGACATTTCTTTGTTAAGAAGGAAAATCAAAAATTCATCAGAAGAAGTTCTTTCTTCCCCCTCTCTTTTTTTTTCTTCCAGGGCTAGCATGGGGTTTGGAGCTGGAACCAACATTTGTAGAAGTTAGGGGTCCTTAAGCAATTATTGGCGATGAGAGTTTGACACGCTTGAGAGTTGTCAACAACTGACTTTAAACAAAGTGGAAGGAAGAAATAAACGGTGCTCTCAGCAAAATTAATATACAGGCCTGCAAATTAATGATGTTGTGTATTTTTTAAACAAGGGAAAAATATCTGAACTTTGCATGAAACAGCATTTTAAGTACATCTTTGCAAAAATTATCAGATTGTCAAAGGGCATCAAAGTGAACTGAGTCTGCAACTATTCATAATATTTCCACATATGCTAAATGCAAAATTTATCTTACTTTGTTCGCCTGTTCTGTAGCAACTATTTGAAGCTATTAGATAGGGGAAAATGTCCTTGATCTGAAGTGCCAGTGCTTGTTCCACAGTAATTATTATAAGAAACACAACTCCCTACTTTGCCCTTACGCACACACGCGCGCGCACACACACATGCACACCCACACACGCATGCACATGCACACACACCCCCACACATAATCCACTACTTACTACTGACCAGATGCTACTCAGCCCTGTGCTTTCTATCTCACTTTCTTTAACTTATTCCTGCAAATAACCCATCCATTCACATGGATTTGATTGCTACATGTCCACAAATAAGTTTCTCCAATCTCTACTTCCAACTATTAGTTCTAACACTCTTCTGTATCCAAAATGAAACCCATGATCTTCTTCCCACCCTTGCCCAATCTGAACCCCCTTAAAACATTCCTCCTCTCCAACATTCCGCCATTTCCAGTGGTAGGCATAGCTCTCTGTTGATAAGTTGTAATTTATCCCAACTCCTCTTTCTCCTCTGTGCTTTCCAAGATGGGGGTGATGTCATAATCATAGCCATCACCTATGGAGGGCCTGCCAGGTATTCTGCAGGATGACATACACATTACATATAGTGGTTAATTTAATTACCTAACAATTCTGAGGAACAGGCATATTTTGTCCACATGTTTTAACCAGTGAGGGAACTCTAAGAAATAATGTAATTTGTACAAGGCTATACAGCCAGTAAATGGCAGAATGGAATTCATGCATGCTGACTATCATAGCAAATCTGTTTAAAAAAGGGGGGGTTACTTTGGACTTGGTGGCCAGTTGTCTCATTTCATTGTGTGCATCCTCACAATTATGCATACCAATCATTTCTCTGAATACTGGAATTGGCCCTTAACCAAGTTTTTCATCTCTAGTGTCCATCCAAATCTATCATATCATGAGAGCACTCCCCATTTCCTCACATACAAAATTCCTGGATCTGCCCCTATCAGCTGGGTAACACTGGAAGACTCACTTACCCAACCTGTGTCCCAGTTTCCTATTCTACAGAAGAGGGTTTATGATGTGTTCACCTTGGAGGCTTCCGGCCAAGATCAATGAAGCTGCATGGAAAGGGTCTGGCAAAATACCTGCCATCCAGCAAGCCCAATTACTAGCAATTTCTATTGTTAATCGTTATTCCTTTCTGTCATATCATGCCTTACAACTCCTTGGAAGCAACGCTTAAGAGGCCTCTTGAGAGGTCAAGTGTCAAAGTAGGGAAAGACTGGACTTAGAATTTCACAGATGTCACTTGGATTTTGGAGTCTGCCATTGATTACCTTGTGATGTTGGATAACTCACCTCTCTAGTCCTCAGCTTATCAACTGTAAAACGGGTATGATAGCTCTGACTGTTCAGTGTTGGTATAAGTTCTAAACGTGATCACAGAGAGCTCCTAGTACTATGTCTGACAGACAAACCATCTCATTTAACCAGAAAGAGGAGAAGGAGCTATTTAACATTTACTGTATTACATGCCAGGCATGACCTAAGAATTTCACATACATTCCTGGTATAACCGTCCAAACAACACCATGAGGTCACTCCCAGAATCTCTATTTTTTAGATGAGAAAATTGAGGCTTAGAGAGATCATGTAACTTCCCCAAATTACATAGCTAGTCAGTGGCTGAGATTTTAACCTAAGCTGCCTCTCTCCAGAAACTGTACTCTAAATCTTCTTAGATAATTATAGTTCCTGTTTCCTCCCTCTATGAAGACTTCTTTGACTAACAGTCGCACTCCATCCCTCATCAACCAGGAACACACACACATTTAGTCGTACATAATGTTCAATAATAGGCAAAACCAAACCACACCTAAAGAAATCAGAACTGTGGTTGCTTTTGGGAAGAATTCAGGGATTGACTGTGAAGGACACAAGAGAAATGTTTGGGGTGATAAAAGTTCTGTGTATATCTTAATTCAAGTATTGGTTACACAGATGTCAAAATTCATCAAATTGTACACTTCAGATTTATGCATTTTAATATATATAAACTACACTTCAATTTAAAGAGATAAAATAAAATGAGATAAATTATATAAAACTAGCAAGCGTCAAGCAAACAATGTATGGCACTATATATTTCAGACGTTCAGTAACTATTTAATAATAATGCCCACCAAATGCTAAACACTGTGGTTGGGGATGGAAATAGCATGGTGGTTAATCATTACTATCATTTATGTGGTATCCATAACTCTTACTGTCCAGTAGGGTGGCTGGACACAGAATGGTAAATGGTGACTTACCAACAGAAAGTGGACACTAAAAGAGCTGAAGCTGAAAGCCTGCTGTGCCCATGGGCAGGCAGTAGGGAGTAAAAGACAAACCGTGAGAATGGTGCCATCAGAAAGGCAGAAGCTAGAATGAAAGGATAATCATAGGAAACAGAGGGGAGTCCAGGTAAGCCTTAGCAATAGAAAGCAGGATGGAGTATGCCCTGACAGGCAGGCAGAGCACATCAGTGTGCTAGTGATGGTCTAAAGGTCCCTGAGTAAGTACAAGGGGCCCATTACAGAGCAGGCACCCATTTACCCAAACCATGGGACAAGGTAAGGCCTTGGCAATAAGATTGGTCCAAGCACCAGGGTGGGGCAGACTAACCTAGTGCTGGCTGATGCTGGGTTGAAGCAGGAGTCCATGCTCACCTCCTCCGTTCAGGACTGTCCCCAAAGGTAGAAGCAGGGAATGACAAAGGACTCCAAGCATGGGGAGAGAAGAGATATGGGGTCAAGGCAAATCAGATCCCAACATATACACTTTCCAGGCTTTGAGAGTAAACAGCTGACCTGCAAGAAGGGCCACTGGCCAATAACATGTATACTCAGATTAACCATGGAATTCCATGGGAATGGTAGTACATCTTGGGACTTGCATAGGACTCCTGACATATGTGTTCTGTGTTCAAACTAAGAACAGTCACTTGGAACTCAGATGGACCTGGGTTTAAAATCAGCTCTGCCACTTACTGTCTGGCTGACCTTGTGGGTCTTAGGGTTCTCCTCAGCAAAATGAAGATGATAATGGTAACTGCCACTTAAGTCTATTAAGAAGATTCAGTGAGGTAATGCTTGTAAAATTCATAACAGTGACTGACACATAATAAGTGTCCAACAATGTAAAGCACTGTTATTAAGAGCTGAGTGTCAGCTCTAGGCAGAGAAGCCAGCACACAATGGGGATGTGTTTTAGTTTCATGTTTCATGTAAAACATAAATGGCAACAACACTGGGGTGGTTACTCATATTATTTTATTCATGCCCTCTATGCAATATGGCCAATAGGAGAATTTCCATTCCATAATGTAAAAGCTGGTGTATTCTGCATTCTAACAGTAGAAATCTCTAGCTTACAAAATTTCCAAATTTATCAGAATCAATGTCCGTAATGACAGATTCAAGCCCTAGAAAATTCTGATGTGCCTGATCCTGAACAGAATTTCCTAGTGTCTTTTGCTTCAATCTCACTATTCTTTGTGACTCAGTAATATATTTTGGTATCAAAACAGTAAGAATCCCATCTCCTGATCATTCAAGAAATCTCCATCATATGAAGAAGACAATTATAGATGGCTCATATTTTCAGCATCAGTTGACACTAGTTTAACATGACTTAGTTAACATGACTTATCAGCTCTGATCTCTGTCAGCCAGAAAATTCTGAGGAAGATGGTAAACCAAGCTTGGATATATAAAATAGCTTTGTTTAATTTGTGGTGATGATGCTATTTCCAATGGCCCATTCCCAAAATATATTCCTTAGCCTCAAATTAAAAGTTGGTAGCCTACCCATTCCTTCTTAAGAACAGTCAATGGAAATTAGTTTACCAAGAGATTTCAAATTTCTCATGCTTCCACATTAACCTTTTTGTATTTCTTCTATAATTTCACAATTAGAGTAAAATGTAGTAAGTAAGGGTTCTGTTACCCCTCCCAAGTCTGTTCCAATTAAGAAACAATATGAAAAAGTGAAATGTTGGGCTACACAATAAGGGGTCACCTTATACACTGCACATATGCTGGGCATACTGTCTTCTCTTACACACAGTAGGTAGTGCTCTGCACACAAGAAGCTCTCCATAAAAGCAGTTGAACAATAAAAATAATGGATTGTATAGCAAAAGCAGAAAGCACTAAAATTATAACTCTCATACCGAATAAAACAGAGGCACGGCTTCCTTTGTGGCTACTGGAAGTCCTGTATGGATGAATGCTAGGTCAGAATATTAGAATTAATTATTTTCTCATCCTTTTTTGCCACTCGTTCCCTGCTATTGGTTCAGCATCTTTTCAATACCTCAGTGACTCAAAGATCAAATGATACCTTCCCAGATATATTTCCAGCCTCCACAATAAAGTTTCTAAACACATATGTCACACAAGAAGTCTAATAAATTCACTGTTTTGTTTGGTCTGATGATCTTAGCCAGAATGAATTAAGAGAGCTGTTTCAGTATTTGGTTTATTTCGAAATGTGTGGGCATGCTTTGAGTTCTGAAAATCCCTTTGTAATAACTCTTGGGAAGAATTCCTCAGGCCACTCAGAGGCTTAACTTGCAAATGAGTGGGTGTCCTCCTTTAGCTTTGGCTACCAAAAATGGCTGACCCCACAAGTACATTAAGTATATGACCGATCTGGTTGAAGGACTAAGTACAGTAAGTAGTACTGCTTTTCATTACTGGTTGGATTATACTGTGAGTGGCAACTGGCTGTTGCATTTCCCACACTTGGCTTTCTGCTCCTTCTTTTGAATACACCTCTTTAGGTAACTGATCAGCAAACCAAATGCAAAGAAATACCTTTGCTAACACATGTGGCCATTGCTGGGTCAGCACTGCTCTATCTCAGAATCAACTGGTAAAAAACTGAACTAAAGCCTTTAACCCTCAATGAAATGAAATAATGTACTTTCCTGTGTAGGCCTACCTCTCCTTCCAAGGAATGTGCACATACCTACACATACAAAAGTGACATTTATCATCATCCTTTTAACGAGAGATCATGAAAGCTATGGCAAGAAAACAAAAACAAAAACAACTTCATCTGTAAAGAGGCAAAGGAACTCCAGGCAAGCCTTTCCTATTTTGAAGGTCATGTATTTAGACATCCCAGGTTCTAGAACTGTTCCGTGAACCCCAGAACAACATGGGAAATAGGCAGTCCTCGGGTTTAATTCATTGAGCGATTTTACACTGAGAAGATCTGCCACATCACAAAGAGCAGGTTTCATTCAGTATATGTTGCTCCCCTCCCCACCTTCCAACACCAGTATCACTTCTTACCAGAGGGGGAAAAATTGCTTTTTAAATAGTGACTTTCTCAGTCACTGCCAAGGTCAATGAGTCAGCCATGAACCACATTTGTTCCTGCCATCTTATGCATATCTCGAACTATGCTGCTTGCCAAGAAGTATCTCCAGGGCAATAGCAAAGCTGCAGTAACCTATCCTGAGCTGAGATTCTAGGCATCTGAGCCAGGAATGCAGGGAATAATTGCCTCCTTCAGTGTAGGAGTCACCATTCAACCTCCTAGTGACATATCTCAATGACACCCCAAACCTCTATATTCTGAGGCCTTACCCTTTACTGCAAGGCTCCCAAGTCAACTTGCCTTGTGAAGCTAATCATCATCATCACTAACAATTAATTTAATAGTTACTACATGCCTGGCACTGTTCTAAATGAGTTTACATCTATTACTACCACTACTACCACTAATTAATAGCTAATACTTAGATAGCATGTTATTTGTCAGGCATTGTTTCAAGAACTGTATATGTGTTGGGGCACCCAGGTGGTGCAGTCAGTTAAACGTCGGGATCAAGCCTCACATTGGGCTCCCTGCTCAGCGGGGAGCCTGCTTCTCCCTCTCCCACTCCCCCTGCTTGTGTTCTCTCTGTCAAATAAATAAATAAAACCTTAAAAAAAAAAAAAAGAATTGTGGGACGCCTGGGTGGCTCAGTCACTTGAGCGTCTGCCTTCGGCTCAGGTCATGATCCCAGGGTCCTGGGATTGAGCCCTGCATTGGGCTCCCTGCTCAGCGGGGAATCTGCTTCTCCCTCTGCCTCTGCTGCTCCCACCCCTGGCTTGTGTTCTCTCTCTCTCAAATAAACAAATAAAATCTGAAATGTGTATGTGCAATCCTCACAATATCCCTAAGAAATAGGTACTATTATTATCCCTGTTTCACAGATGAGGAAACTGCAGCACAGAGTGGTTAAGGAACTTACCTGAGGACACATCTAGCAAATGGAGGAGCTGACCTTCTGTTACCTAACTCTAGAGCCTGCTGTCTGCACATGCCCTTGAATCTCATGGGAAAGACAGACCTATAACAATCAATCAAAAGTTCTGGTTCCTTTAGAGAGGAACTCAGAAAGAGCTGAGACCTGGTGCATCTTCTTGGAGAAAGTGACTCTTGGGCTGAGTCTTGAAGGACCCAGGAGGAGTAAGTCAGGGAGGAAAGAAAAGGAAGAGCTTTCTTGACAGGGGAACAGTACAGACACAAACCTGGGATGGGGAGGAGAGAAGAGTTTACTCAGGAAATTCCAGGCAGCTTTATAAAGTTACAGCAAAGGATGCAGAGGGGAAGAATTAAGAGATAATAGTGAAGGGTGCTGAACCTAGTCCAGACCTCCACACCAGCACTGCTGCTCATCTAAAGTTAGACTGATCCTGAGAACAATGGCAGCCTCTAAGCGATATGAAGCTAAGCAACTGCACACATGGGCTGCCTTTTCAGGAATATCCCTTGGAAATTACATAGACAAGAAAGAGAAACTGATTAGGAAGCTATCAGCAAAATCCAGGTGAGAAATGATGAAGTTTGAACTAACACAATGTCGATAATTATAAACACAGGAGAAAACACCCCATCTTGAACATTTTGATATTGCTTTAATAAAAAAAATGCCTGTGTAGATATGGAATCCCTGAAGTTCTTTTCCCTTCGAGGACTAGACTGTAGTTAAGTCTACATGGACCTCATAAGTATACACTTATATCTTGAAATCAAACATAAATGAGCTCACCATTTCAAGTTCCATTACACTAGAACTCAACTGCTTCCATTACACTAGAACTCAACTGCTTCCATTATACTAGAACTCAACTGCTTCCATTACACTAGAACTCAACTAGAACTCAACCGCTTAGCTGTTTCCATTATTTAATAAAAGATTTAATGAACCGAAATATTAAGAGCCCATGTCAATCTTATAAAAAAATCTTTATCATCCTCCTCCTCCTCTTCCACATCATCTTCTTTTACATGAAGCAAATTTTACCATGGGAATTTAAAGAACATCTCTATCATGTCTCACCTTGGGCCACAGTTATTAAAATAATGTCTATAACCTACCAGGAAGTCACAGGATGGCTGACCTCTTACAACATCTGTGCAGATAAATGACACCACACGTGCCTCACACTAGATACTCAAAGGCTTTGTGAAAAAAAAAAAAAGTCAAAAATCAGTGAGTGGGTGACACCTATAATTGGGCATGAACAATTTTCATCCAATATTTCACAAACCTACATATTATTCCATCACGTTCTCACAAAAGTCTATGCCATTTTACCTCTTTCCTTTGGCAAGGTGTCTTAAGGGATATCTTAATTATAAAAACAGTGGTTTAGGTGATTCAGTTATGGTGGACCACAGACCAAAAAAGTATGAAAACCTGTTAAGGAATTTGGAAGATTTCACAGAAACAACTCCTGATAACCTTTATAATCACAAGGAGCTGGATTGGGATCATTTGAAATAGTCGATAATTCAAAAATATTCCATAGGTCATTACGATTTTAGAAGAGATGGGAAGAGATTGGCCCAGAAAGCTGAAGAGATTTACCTAAGGTCACACAGCCAATCAGTGGCAAAGCTGAGACAAGGACACACATAATTCTTAATCCTTAGACTTGTCTTCTTTTCATTATTCCATGTTGCCTACTACTTGGTGTGAAGATATTATGAAAATATAACTTGAAACTTGATGGTATACAAGCCAAGGATATGCAAATAATGCTGAAATGGTGAACAAGCCTCAGGATTCCTAACGTTAATTCCTATTTTGCCACTTGCTAGTTGTGTGGTCACTTGGTTTTTTAGTCTCAGGTTTCCTGTTTGTTAAAGGCAGTAAATTCACTAGTTCTGCTTCTCACAGTCTATGAGACTCAACAGTTTCTTCGCCACAGTTGCTTTCCCCCTACTTAGAAATCTATTCATAGCATCCCCATCTCAAGGCCATGTCTCCAGCTCAACCTATAATCTGTTTTCCCTCTTTCCTTTCATAACCAAATTCCTCAGAAGAATCTACACTCACAGCTACCACATGCTCTGGGTCATAAGTGGCCACACCAATTTTTAGCTTGACCTGGGGCAAGTCACTTGACCTATCTGAGCTCTGATTTCCTCATGTGTCAAATGCAGTTGTTGATAGTTCCACCTCCGGATTTCTGGGAGGTTTAAATGAGATAACCAAGGTAAAGTACATAAGCATTCATTCAACAAATATTTATTCAGCACCTCTTATGTACCAGGCAGCATTCTACAGCACTGGGGATACAACAATGAACCAAAATAAATGTGAGCTCTCATTTCCATGAGGCCAGAGAAGTCTACTTTTGAGAGTTTTCCTGCACCTCATCATTTCCCTTTGGACACTTAGAATAAGGTAAATAGAGCATGCCTCTTTGCCTTAGAACTTGTAGGAACTGAGCGCAATAGTGTAGATGAAACTACTGTGAAAACTATAAAAATCAACACAAATGGAAGGGATTTTTATTAGTACTCCTCAAGCATAAGCAAAGATTTACCACACCAATCCCAATATTGCCTTTCCTCCTTGGGATACTGGAATCTATGATGAATTGGAATCTTCCTCAGGTATCAGGTTAAGAAACCAGAGTACAACCCCAGTAAATTACTGTACTTTCTATTCGAGTCTTCAGGCTAGAGAATCTGCACATCTGCTGAAAGTGAAGTCTCCCACAGCGGGATTTCCTTAACCCTCCTCCATCCATCTTCTCACACTGACCTCCTCCCACTCTGTTTTTATACTCGTCTCATCACTCCCATGGGGCCATAAGCTCCTGGAGGCAAAGTATATGTCTGGTTCACATTGTCACCATCTCCCTCTCCCAGACACGTGCTTTGACATGGAGTAGGCCTGCAAACAATGTTTACTGGTGGCAGTCACCAGGTGTCAGGGAGGGGCTGGGCCCTCCAGGGGGCAGTGTATTTTGGTGTCCAGCCCTTCCACTATGCTTACTACGTTTTTCTTTTAAGCTCATCAGTGTGCTTTATAAGTAAATAGAAAATGCTAACCTTAGCATATTCAAAAGAACGTTTTAGCATGCAGCAATTAGGTTATCTCTTGGTTATTTATTTCTTTGGCTTGTTATTAGCTCTGCGTGGAATATTATTCTAATTATGTCAGCCCAATCAGCAGTATTGCATGTCCAGGCTCATTTCCATTAGTTTGAGCTTTGTCTTTCACACTGTGATACTAATTCAATGAGACATCAAACATTTAAATCGACCCGGGATGCCGAGGTCAGGCAGTTTTGCCCTTCCACTCTATTAGCACTTGGGTGTAATTGTGTTTGTCACTCCCCACATGACAAATAGTATCAGGGTGACTATTGGAGCACAAATGAGCAATGTGCTAATATATTATTTTGTTCTATAATATCAATATGTGTTTATTCAGTGCTCATGTTAGCCAACTTGAAACGGTCACTTTAATACAGCGGCTATACTACCAGCAAAGCAGTTACTTGGAAAATGTGCTAGATTTTCAATGGAATTTGGTTGAAGAAAGGGAAATAAAAATGGTTGCTGGGAAAAAGAACCACAAAGGGGCGCCTGGGTGGCTCAGTCGTTAAGCGTCTGCCTTCCGCTCAGGTCATGATCCCGGGGTCCTGGGATCGAGCCCCACATCGGGCTCCCTGCTCTGCGGGAAGACTGCTTCTCCCTCTCCCACTCCCCCTGCTTCTGTTCCTGCTCTCGCTATCTCTCTCTCTGTCAAATAAATAAATAAAAATCTTTAAAAAAAAAAAGAAAAAGAAAAAGAACCACAAAGGTCTCAAAATTCAGAGCCTCTTACTAGCACCAGCAAGAACTTACAAACCACCAGAGCAAATGGTAGAATGCAACACTGTTACCTCCTCAGTGGACTCTGCAAAACTCACATTCTCTGATAGTTTAAAAAATCAAGATGCAGCCTATTGTATTTGAACAAATATACGTCTGACCTGTAGTTAGCTCAAGCTGTTGATCTCTATGACAGTTTTCGAGTGTGAGGATAATTGAAGAAATTGGCAAGCAGTAAAAATAAAAACTTTTGGAAATTTGTTGTTTGTTTTTGTTTCCACAATAAAGTAGATACTGTACAATGAATTTTATCCCTCAGACCCCAACAAACCCTATCTGTGCTACTGCTATATAATTTACCCTTATCATTATGAGACTTAAATTTGAATGGTGATACAACATAGTGTTACCCATAGTTTTTTACTTTTATATTTCACATTATACTATCTAAAAAATGACTAGGGAAACTGGTTTGGCAAAAAGTCCAAGCCAATATGCTGCACTTTCTGATCAGTAGGCGCTGTTGATTCTAAAAACAATTCTATTTCTGGGTCTCATTGCCTTTTCACAGTCAACATAAAGCAGATTTTGTTATTCCCATGTTGTAAAGTGAAAAACTTAGGCCTAGAAAGGACCTGATGTCCAAGTTCAAGAATCCATAGCTTGTCAACAATAAAGCTAGAACAAATATGGGTTTTTAGGTTCCTGCATGTCATGACCTGTCCCAAAATCCTGAACTGCCAGCCTGAGTTTGGGTCACCCTGCTCTGGTACCATCTCTTATCCAGGCTCTCCCTCAATCTTGGCTCTCAGCATAATCCATATAACCTGTGCTTGGCACTCTGCCCAGGTTGACTTATCTATCTTCTCCAAATCATAAACTTCTTGGACTAATGCTTGCATGTGCAAAGAAAGTAGGAGGATAAATCATCCCTAACCTCCATCGACAGGTTCAACAAATTACACCAATGTATGTTAATTGAAAAATCGCTCTTTATAAATATAGATAAACCTAAAAAGACACGATTAAGTACTTTTTAATAGCTTTTTTAAAACTCACCATTGCTTTAGATGACCCTTAGATGTATTTTTGTTCTATTGATTTTACCATTTTAAATACAGATGCATCTTTTAACTTACTCTGAGGAATTAGCTGAGAATCTCCCATTTTCTGTTTGGGCCTCAGTTTGCATGACAGAACTGCCTCTAATGTAGATATCCTCAAAATTTAGTGCTTCCACAGTTTAAGATACAAGTTCTAAAAACTGGTTCACTGGTTCACTGGGGGGACAAATGGAACTTTCAATTTTGAAATTACAATTGGACCAAGAAACTGAAAGCAAACTAACATAATAATTTGATGCTATTACCAGTCAATGACTTTTCAAGGAATGAGCAGGGGATTCATATATTTTAACACTTTTTTTCCACATTTCATATTGAGCCATAGTGATATCTGTATAATGAAAGTAGCACATCAGACTTTTGTTCTCAACTATTCAAGTTGAACAGAAATGAAAGTGGAAATAAGAGACCAACTCCAAGGTGAAGAGAAGCCCTCTGAGATGCAAACACAAACTCTTTGAGTTCACAGCACTTTGGAAAGGTGACAGGAGCAGTAAATAAACCACTGGATTAGATTAGAGGCTGGCAACCTTTTAAAAGGAGTGGACCGAAAAGCTGACCCCTTTCTTTCTGGCATGCTGTTCCTTTGCTGACCACATCTTTGCAAAGTAGAAAAAACTGAACTGCCATCTGCCAATCAGGTGGGAAGGGCTGCTAACCCTTGTTGCTACTGGTGGCCCAGCCACCATGTGCATGTCGAAAAAACTCTGACTTTAGTGCCACTCAGGCAGTGATGGGCCAGATTCACCCTCATCAACATTGAGGACTGTGATCAAGGAAGTAGAATTCATCAGGTCCCCTTCCAACATAATTCTGATGGCATGCAAAGTATTGGTAACATAAAATAATGAGACCAAAAGAAAGGGGGGAAAGGGTAACAGACCACAAATGAGAGGATCAGTGATTATGTCCTATCCTTCCTTGCCCTCCTATCAAAAAGAAATTAGACACAAGAAATACTGAACAAGTTCCCTTATGGGGGGAAGGTGGAACATGGTATCATAGCAGCCTGGAAATAAAGGGAAGAGAAACCATAGTCAACATAATATGCAGAAGTAGCCATTTATTTATGCTCTCTTTCCATTTATAAAAGATGTGTTTCAGCCTCTGGCTGCATGTACATAATAATTAGTACTAATGAATATAAATGATACTCACAACTCAACCTGTTTACAGAGTCTCCCCATGTCATTCAGGGAAGAATTGAGTTTGGAAATGAGATGTATACTGTGTTCTTGGACTTGAAGATGACCCAAAGGTTACAGAAGCTGAGGATGATGAAATCAGTTAGCAATTAACAAGGCAAGAAGACGAGGAACCCACAGAATTCAGCACTTGCAGTCTCAGGCACTGTTGTTACAAAGGAGGACACTCTTCTTTTCTTTGCAGACATTTGTCCACAGAGTAGCACGTTTATTTTTGTGTAACCCAGAAGCTGAGAGATGTTGAGGGTGGAAATTCACAACTTTAAAATCACAAGAGGTCTGACAAAAAGAACAGAGAATATAAAAAAAGATTAAAAGAATTACAATTCCTTAGCTGACTGGGACATTGGCCTGTGGGAAAAGGAATAAACTACAGAGCTATTTGGCATTTATATACCAAACTAAAAAACCTCCCTAATCTCAAGTTTGCTTTTAAGTCATTCTTGATTACCTGTAACATGGCTGAGAACCCCAAAACAAGCTAAAAATAACTGAAGTGGACATTCAAAAGTTCTTCTCCAAAGCTCACTTTATTTACAGGATAACCACGTGCTCCCTTCTAATCCTACTTATTCTTTTTTTTTTTTTTTTAAGATTTTATTTATTTATTTGACAGAGAGAGAGATAGCTAGAGCAGGAACACAAGCAGGGGGAGTGGGAGAGGGAGAGGCAGGCTTCCTGCCGAGCAGGGAGCCCGATGTGGGACTCGATCCCAGGACCCCAGGATCATGACCTGAGCCGAAGGCAGACGCTTAACGACTCAGCCACCCAGGCGCCCATCTAATCCTACTTATTCTTATATCCAAACAAAGAAGGTAATCTGATTTCCTATCTCAGAGCATGTTTGAAGCCAGAAACTCAGACATGCAAGAAGTTAATAGCAACACCACAAAGACAATGGCAAGAGGTAATATATGATATGATAGAGACTGAAAAACCTCAGAAATCAGATTTAAGATTTCTTGAAAATGATATCCAGGAGCTATTTAGTGCAAGGGAAAGCAACTTCACATAACTCAATAAATACATCTGTGAACTTCACAGTGCAAAAATGGGCTGGATTATAAATGAAAAGATCACTGATATTTGATATGCTCTGTTTAATAAGAAATAAAAATCACAAAAAAACTTAGAAAAGATTTATGTCTGCAGTTACGTATGTACAACAAAGTTTATGTGTTTAAAAATGCCAGCCTCAGCTATTTGGGAAATTCATTTACAGGACACCTCACTTTCCTGTGGACCCAGGATCTAATGCCTCATGTTCTGACATTCCTGAGAAAGCATTACTCCCTCACTGTTAGATGTTAGCTCCTGCCTTTGAGGATACTGCAATCCAGGATATTTCACAAGTGGAAGGACCCTGTGAGATCAACACTCTCAATCTGCAGAGGAAACAACTGAGCCCAGAGCAGGGACAACCCAAGGTTCCAAAATAACTTGGGGACAGAGGTGAGTGGAGCCAAGGACTCCTGGATCCAAGCCTCCAGCAGTTTCCATGAAATTAAGTTCAATGCACAAAGGACAGTGACATATTTGGCCCCTGCAAGCTGACTCCCTGCCTAGCTCATCCTTCTGAACAAATCAGAAGGAGGCAAGTCAGGTGGCAGGAAAGACCTGGAGAATTGGGCAGTATGAATAATAAGAGGAAGTTGAACTCATTTCACTTTCCAAATCCTACAGCAAACCTTCACACAATTGCCCCTGCCCTTCTGTTTCTCTAAAACTATGCTTCAAATTTGCTGCATCCAGGAAGCCTACCAGGCTAGCCTACTTCTTTTTTTTTTTTTTTTAAAGATTTTATTTATTTATTTGAGAGAGAGAGAATGAGAGAGACAGAGAGTACATGAGAGGGAGGAGGGTCAGAGGGAGAAGCAGACTCCCTGACGAGCAGGGAGCCCGATGCGGGACTCGATCCCGGGACTCCAGGATCATGACCTGAGCCGAAGGTAGTCGCTCAACCAACTGAGCCACCCAGGCGCCCCAGGCTAGCCTACTTCTAATCATTCACCACAATCTAACTCCTCCCCTGACTAGCCACATATTTGCCTGATGATTTAAGCTTCAATTTCCTCATCTAAAAAAATGAAGACAGTAAGACCTACTTCCTAGGATTGTGAAATTCAATGAGATAATATGTGAAGAAGCTAGAACAACATCTGACAAATAATAAAAAATAAAAATAATACGTGCTCAGTTAAAGGCTGGTGTTAGTATACTGCAACAGCAAATGTATCTCTAAAACTAAGTTGCTTGGTGCCTCTAGGTGGGTCACTTTAGCACAAATGATATTAGATTAACTTTGTTACCTTGGTGTTATTTTGGTCTCACCCACCATGAGCTCCTTGAAGACCAGGGCTGGTCTGTGCCTATGTCTTTGCATGTGGGTTGAGGTACTTTCCTCTTTTTCCTCTCTTCCCTCACTAGACTGGAGTTTCTTGTGTGTATGGTGGACACAGACCAACTACCAGCAACTGACTATGCCTGAGCTGATAAATAGTAACCAACACTCTAACCGTTGTTAGAATCATTTACAAGGCAATTTCACATATAGAAATTCATTTGATCCTTGCAATTACCCTAGAAGGCGAGCAGGACACTTACAGTTATCCTCATCTTAGAGAAGAGGTGAAAACACAGGCTTGGACAGGTAGAATAACTTGCCTCTCACCTTGAGTGGTGCTGATACAGTTTTGGGATCAGAAGCACTCTTGTCTGGCTCAGTCAGTTTTCAACAGAGGATATTAATCCTTCCCCTCGATGACCTTTAAAAATATGACTGTGTTACCACTGGAAGATTCTGTGTTGTGTGAATGGAGGTCTCGGTTCTTAGATTCCCCATGAAAGATTTATGTGAGGATCTGTGCTCGAATAAAGACAGCCCGAAGGAAAAGAGCAAGCACAAAGCAGTTTATTAAGGACAGTACATTCTAGATGGGAGAGCAGGGAGGCCCAGAGGCAGCAATTGCACTGGGGTTAAGGGTGTCTTTTCTTTTTATGTTCACCTAAGTTATGAGTCATAGATAGGGTGGTCTCCAATCTAAGGGACTCTTCCTACTGGTTAGGAGGGGTAGTTTTCTTGCTGGAACTGTCATGGCTGTCTTCCCCCAATGGGTGTGGGGATGTCAAAACCACAAAGTAAATATATGATAATGAAGTTATAGGTTATTGTAGGACACAGGCTGGAAAGAACAGTGCATGCTCTGCACCTGTTATTCTTGATCTGATAGCCCTAGGAAGTGGGAAGCCAGGAAACCACTGTTTACCACCATCCCTGCCTCCAGCTCATATCTAGCTAACTGCCCACTCTAGCAACTGCTGCCATGCAGTGTCCACTCAAGGAAGAGTGAAGAGTTTCTAGACATTTCTCTAGGATTTTAGCATCTACAACTACTGTCTCCTCATAGCAGCTTTTTACCTCATTGACAAAAAGCATCTCTTTCACAGAGGTCAGCAAACTATGGTCAAATCTGGCTCACAGGGGCACCTGGGTGGCTCAGTCAGTTAAACATCTACCTTCCTCTCAGGTCATGATCCAGCCCAGAGTCAGACTCCCTACTCAGAGTGGTGTCTGCTTCTCCCTCTCCTCTGCCCCTACCCCCCACTCCTGTTTTCTCTCTCACTCTCTCAAATAAATAAAATCTTAAAAAGAAAAAATCTAGCCCACAGCTTCTTTTAATATGGTCTACAAGCTAAGGATTTTAAAGGGCTGTGAAAACCAAAACAAACAAACAAGAAAATGCACCAGAGATGTATATGGCCCACAAAGCTGAAAATATTTAGTATCTGACCCATTAAAGAAAACATTTGCTGGTCCCTGAATCAGACTGTGGTTCTCTCCTGCTTTGGCAGCATAGAAACTTAGAGCCCAATCTGTGGCCTTTTTCCAGCAACTGAACAGAATTTCATGCAATGTATTTTAGGAAACTCATTCTGAGCTCCATTTTGCTCTCAAAGGAAATACCTGATGTGGCTTTTTTGATGCTCAAGATATTAGAACCACCACTCTGTCCCTAAAATACAAACCATTACACTCTCAGTTGCTTTTTTACCAATACTTGTAGCAGACATCTTCACCTTGTTCCTTACCCCAGTGCATCCTTAAGCCTTTCCCCTTTCACGTGATTCAGGCTTAAAGGTGCTTCAAAATGTCCTACCTACTCTTTCCTTTTACTAATTTTTAAACTTACATTAAGTGTTTTATCTTACACCATAATAATCATTCTTGAAGATTACTGAATCCCTTTGAGAACAAAGACTTAAGGGCTCAACATTAAATAATTTCCTTAGAACTGCCCAGGTAGCACAGAGCAGGCTTGAACCCAGCTTACCTCATTCCATATCTAGGGCTTCTGACCACCATCCCTAAAAGGTAAGTAGGTTCTAAACAGAAACAATTAAAGACTGAACCCTTTTACTTAGTGACCCTCCCCAGTAGTAGCCCATTCTCCTAGTAGGCCTATCCTGAAGGAACCATCTGGGCTTTCTCTTACACCGCTGTAGAAGGCACACACACCACTCAAGCATTCTTGAGTTTTGGACTATTTTGGATCTAGCTACTCACCATTCCAAAGGAAGAGAAGTGGGACAAAAAACCTATTCCTAATTATGTGGAAAGAATCACTGGAATTTGAGCCAAATGGCTGGGTTTGGGTTCTGCTCTCACCACTCACCAACAACATAACCTTGGAACAGTCACACACCGTCTTTGACTCTGTTTTCTTGTCGTTAGAAGGGGCTTATACCTAACTTCACATTCTCCTAGAGCTGTCATGAATTGCACAGGCAAGTGTGGGTAATAAAGTACTTGGTAACTTTTGGAAGCCCTGTACCACTGTAAGAGATTGTTATCACAGCCAGAGATGCTTGGAATTAGAGTAATCATTTTCCCACCACCCCTGCCATCAGCTCAGCTACTCTAAGAATTTGGACAAGTGGGTTTTTCGAGGAAAAGAGAAGAAGTTCTGTATTTTTCTTCACTTCATCCCTGAACTATATGGACCTGCAGGGGCTGGAGGGACCCCTTATTTACAGAAAAGTCAGAAGACAATGCATACACACCAAAAGGCTTTAAATGATACCCTGCCCCTCCATGGAATCTTTGATTTTAAAGAAACAGGGCAAAAAAAGCCCTTACCCATGTTGCCAATTAGATGAGACAGAGGAGTCTGGAATACAAAGTGATACTGACCCCACTCTGGCTTCAGGGAATGGCCAGGATAACCTTACACATTATCCACTTCAAATGTCCGTGATTATGTCCTGTATATGTTATATAT